CCTAGATCTCTTTTGATTTGATTCTGCTCTTCTTTTTTCTTTTCTAGGAAAACTCGCGCATAGGTATATTTTTTAGCGGAGAAAAGAGATTTTTGGAGAGATTTCGTTTGATTCTGAGGAAGGGGAATGTACAGAGATTTATGCATTTCGTATTTTGTGGAAATTCCCGGTAATCGTACATTTCATCTGAAAATAATTCTTTTTCTCAAAAGTAAATGTCAGAAGCAAAATTTAAAAGTATTGATATTTGAATAGAATATTATCCAAAAATACTTGAAACTTATTTTCCTTTCTCTGATTAAATAAAAATCTTTTATCGTAATTAAAGCACTTCCTAAAATCATTCAAACAATTCATCTCCTCTTCTAAAAAATCTGCACATCCCGATACTTTCCCAAAGAATAATTAACAAACGATTGGTCAGGGATCAAATCCATAGCGAACGAGAAAGGGGGGTGCGACGATTTTTAAGGGGATTCGCGTCGATTCGATCCGGAAGAGGAGGTGGACGTGGTCTCTGTTCACACCTCTCGAGATCGGCGTTTGAAAATTCGCCTCTCTCGAGTCGGGGTTGAAGCTGAACTTCGGGCCACGTGTCGAGCGGCACGTGTCGGGAATATTTCGGGACGCGTTATTCACGCAATGACAGCAGAATGAATCGCAGCACGTGCTGCCCGACGTTTGACTGATATTCCCTGTGTGCGTGTAGCTAATCTTGGTCGCGGTACAACGTATTCGAGATCGCGTTCGATCGCGGTCACACGAGATCACTGACCGGATTCGGATCAGGATACGTGTTTGGATACATTCGTAATTGGATACATTCGAGATTTGAATCAATGGTTCGCGGAGGAATGCGTGGAAGGTAAATCGGATTTAGAATGATTTTCGAATAGTCATAACGGATACTTCCAGTTACACTTGTTTATGGATTCTTTTATTAATCGCGGGAATGATAAAAAAAGGAGAAGAAATCGATCGAAATCTGATAATTGTTGAAACGATTCCTAGCATTATATTTCCTTTCGATAAAGTTTTTTTCCTATTTCTTCTACCTTATAATATTGCTCCATTGTTTATACGTTTTATTCAGATACATAAGGAAGTGGCACATCGACAGGTTGATAACAGGTTTATAGTAGTACCAAGCTATCAGTGACCAAAAGTAATGATACATGTAGCTACGAGGCAAGAGATTGCGGTATTCGAGATAGTGAGAGCTTTGTGTTTTACCTTTCCTCCGAACTTTTAAAATTTCACGTTGTAAAGAAGGAAGATGCTTTTAAAGATTATCACGAAAGTTTTTTTCTCAATAACGTGTGAATCAGAAATTTGCGTGACCAGTGTCTATAATAATTCTGAAAACGATTTCCACGCTTCTTCTATTTTCATCAGATTCTTGAATAGAATCCTTGGATAGATTCCTTTTTAAGCTCGATGTTTAATTCGAGAACAACAATTGAAAACTTGGTTAAAAAGAGAGGAAAATTCAGGAATCATTCCATTTTCTTTCCCCCCAGCTATGGCGATTCAACGAACTGTCTTGATACCAAATAAAGCATCGAAAATTCGAGTTTCGAGGGGAGCTGGAAACAATGGGAGCTTACAAATTGAGTGGGACGACCGATGTAACGTCACTGCGGTATCATCGTCTCGCGAGGTACCACCGACTCCTCCATTGTTCCCTCTTCCGAGGAGCACGGCGGAACTCGTGCCGATTTACTCGGGTGTAACGTCGATCTAAGCGATATCTCCTTTCTTGCCCGGCCTTATATAACCCTCCCAGCCAACAGTCGCGAGTGAAATGTAGCCACGACGCCTTCTGCGATCCGATCTGACGTTTACATAACCTCGTCCTCGTCGTTTTTCCTTCTTTCTTTTTCTTACTCCGCTTTGTACATCCTTATAAACATTCTCTTTTTCTCTCTCTCTCTCTTTTTTTTTGATAAATTATACATATAAAAGAGAGATATATAGATCAATGATTTTTAAGTAATATTCTAATGAACATTGGTAAAAATCAATTTTTTAAAACCTATTGCCTTTGGAATGTAACGTGCTGCTTGAAAATAATAGATACACCCCTGATTACGCAAGATTTTCCTCTATACAATTTTGAAAGTTAATCGCTTATTAATTTTCAAGATATTGATCATTTTCATCTTTTATATCAATATTTTCTCTATTTAGATCCTATTAAAATTACGAGTTTTTCCTACTCTTGAAAACCCGTTGCCGATTTTTAAAATTTCCTTAAAATAGTGTTAAATAGAATCGCGAAATAAAAATTAATATGTACTTTTGCCAACTTCTTAAATCTCCCTCGTATTCGATACGCGAAATAGAATAAGTTTCGCGGGATCATCGACACCGAAGAATTCAATGACTCACCATCGTCGGTGCGTTTTCTCTTGATGCTGTTGCCGTTCGGGTCCTGGTGGTGCGCCGGGATTCCCAGGATGCCGCTGATGCTGTAAGCGTTGGGAGCGGTCGCCGCCGGGTGACCCGCCGCCGTTGCAGGTGCATGGGCTATCACCGACACGGAACCACCTGATCCTGGCTGACCTTGCTGCTGACCTTGCTGCTGCTGCGCCTGCTGTTGTTGATGCGCGTGCTTCGCCTTCTCCGCCGCTTTGTTCCTCACGATTCTACGGACAATGCAGGCGTGCAGCCACCAGTGTGTATAGAGTTACTACCAGAGCCATTAGGGGGGCCGCGATCTCTGCGGTTTCGATCCGAGTTTATCGGGCGTGTGACTCGGATTGATCGGGATTAAATGGGTGGAATTCTTGGCAAGGAGTTATATAATATCATTCTCAAGCATTCCTCCATTTAAAAATATGAATCTAATTTTCAAAATGGCATAATAATGATACCAGAGAGATTGTGATAAATCTTTAAACAATCCTTAATAAAAGGTACTTATAAATTTAATTTACTACTGCTTAGAATAGAATATGACGTGTAATGAAACAATTGTTGAAGAAAATAAAAATTTTCCCCAATTTCTTACAATTAATGAATGATTGATGCACGATCATTCCCCTCCAATTATCATTATATACTCTGCTTGGCTACACACAACGGTGGTGGTAGCAACGTGTCGTTCGCCATTGTTCCAAGTTACTTATAAATTTAATATACATTTACTACTGTTTAGAATCGAATATGACGTGTAATGAAACAATTGTTGAAGAAAATAAAAATTTTCCCCAATTTCTTACAATTAATGAATGATTGATGCACGATCATTCCCCTCCAATTATCATTATATACTCTGCTTGGCTACACACAACGGTGGTGATAGCAACGTGTCGTTCGCCATTGTTCCGGACAGGCATGTCAGAGCGCCTCCACCTTCGATACGGAACAGCCAACGTGACTCTGCGGAACGGTCGCGTATCATAATCGCATCAAGGAGTCGGGCGGACATCAGCCAGATACAAACGAAGCGCCTCCTCCCCCGTATCCTCCCGAGTCGCCCTTCCGAGTCGCCCATCCGGCATCGTGCGCCGACTGCTTATTATCCGTGATATATTGTGCGTGCGGTCAGCCAGTCCTACACCCGGTCGGTTGATCAATTATCCCGGCGAATATTCACGGCGCGACCGTGTTGTTAATCCGCACGGCTCGTTCGAGGAAGAAGCTGGCGCGAAACTGGCCACCTCTGATCGACTACCGCCCCCCCTCTCTTAAGATCGCTCAGAGAAAGATTAAATAGAGTATATAATAGTCTAGTTTGGGATATAAGAGAAAATTGAAACTACTTTTTAGCGAAATTTTTTCGACTGAAAGTATTTCTTCTTCCAAGTGTCTTAGTTTTCAAGTGACGTTGTATCTTTGCTTTTGTTTTCCAATTTCAATATTTCATATAAAAAGTGTATTTTTATAGAGATTCCAATAGCGAAACAATTTTTAATCAGTTAGTGTATCGTGTGAATGTAAGGATAAGGTTTTATTAATGGAAATTGGCGATGGGCTAACGCGTAATGGATGGACATTAAGTCGTTCGTTTCTGGCGTGGATGTGTTTGTGGGCTAGGTAATCGTGGGGGTGCGAGCTACGGCGATCAATCAGATGACACCTGTTGCCCGATCTCCCTGGCTCGTTCGCCACCTTCGCCAATTCGCAACAATTAGCAACGATCCTTATCAGGGTTAGACTCTGGGGTGACGCCGTGTCCTGACACCGATACCTCGAAGGTATAATTTGTATCACCCATTCGTGTACAACTATCGTACAATTCAACGATATAAAATGTTAAAATAGTAGGATTATCGATTCTCGTTAATTCAGCTTCATATCAGAACGAATAAACTAATCTAGAAAAATATAATCTAATCTATAATATAAAATGTTCAATATTTTCCGATATCATTAAACTTTGTGCAACAAATTGTACGTTCCCAGTTTACGATTACGAGAAATTACCCCTTCCCTCCGGCTCCTTTCCTTCTTTACACCGTGAAGCATCGTGAAAGGAAGAATGGCCGCCGTTGCGCCACACCCGCCTCGCGCTTTAATTACCGAAACGCGGGGAGGACTTTGATCCACCGACCGATTCAGAGATGGTCGGCAACACCGCGAAACTCGCGTTAAAACGCGTGGCGAGAGGGTATTATGGCAGGGCTGTGTAATGAGCGCGATCGACGATCTAATAAGCGCGCGAGCATCGGCACAACAGGTGCAGATTTTATCGTGCGTGCACAGATGGTGCGAACACGTTGCCACACGCCGCGTTTCGAGAGGGCCGAATAAAACGGGCTGTTTTTCGCAGACGCCGTGCCTTCCATCTTCTAATTAGCATCGCGTTCAGCTACGCTTTTCCTCGTTATCGATGCATTTATAAGTATCAACGACCGGTTATTAACGTTGCTCGTCTGCGAAAAACGTGGCTTGCACACGATTTACGTAACATTTCGCGCGCACGTAAAGTGTATCGATTCGATCCTTTGTGTTCTCGAAAATCCTCGAGGAGGATTGGAAATCCATTCTTTTAATGAACTCTGTTTGACTCTGTTCATCAATATTTATTACAGTTTTTATTTCAGCTTGCCATCGATGGCTGATTAGATGATACTAAATTATATCTTTGAAAGTCTTTGCGTGGCTATTTTACAATGGCACACGAATTCATTGTATTCAATATCTTTGAATATTCATGTTGAAAATTTATCGTTTCTTCTCAATTTATCGATATTTGATTGGACGACTTTTATATTTAATTATATAATTATTATATTTATATTTAATTCTTTATTAAGATTTGATATTATTTATATCATTTTTATTATAAAATATAATATAATTTATAGAAAGACTTCAAGTTAAATTAAACTATTAATCTTCAAAATTAAATATAAAAATTATTTTTAAATTTTAATTATAAAATGATCAACAAATAATATAAATATTAAAATTCTGTATATTATCTTAGCTTTATGATCAGAAATATTAGGATCATCGGTAAAATTAATTATTCGAATAATTAAGTTCTCCAGGCTCATGAATTAAAATTTATAATACAATTGTTACCAGACATACATTTTTAATAATTTTCTTTATAATTATTCCATTTTTAATTGGTGGATTTGGTAATTTAATATTAGGATCACCAGATATAGCTTTTCCACGAATAAATAATATTAGATTTTGATTATTACCTCCTTCATTATTAATATTACTATTAAGAAATTTATTCTATCCAGAAACAGGAACATTTATCCTCCTTTATCTGCATATTTATATCATTTTTCACTAGATTTTGCAATTTCTTCACTTCATATATCAGGAATCTTTTTAAAAAAAAAAATATTTTTAAATAATCTATCTGTAATATCAAAAATCACGATATTACTTTATATATTATAATTGGCCTGTGCGAATCGATTAAACCCACAGGACATTTCCCCATAAAATTTTGAATAATCTTTCCTTCGGAGTGGCTTTTCCGCGGAAAAGAGGGTGAAACTCTCGCCGCTGGAAAATCACATGGCGGTTTCCATTCACGAGGGGGATGGGGGATCACCAGGGCCTCGCCAATCGTTCGCGGTGCCGAGCAAGGCAGAGGGATTTTCCCTCCCTCCCTGTTCGCCGCGGTGTTTCTCTCCTTCCCTCTCACGTGGCCACGACGTCTTGGAGAGACCAGAGGTGGCGCCTGGAGGAAGGCCGAGCAGAATTATGAGGGTAGAGCGTGTCGAGGGTGCCACGTGGGAAGAAGCTATGCCTCCCCTGGCGCCATCAGATCGTTCCCCAACGGCCACTCCTGAACTAAACTGCTCGACTATCTGGCTCTCCAAGTGCCACCACGAGCTCAACTTTTCTTGTCCTTTGTCTCCTCCCCGAACAACGTTTAAATCACGTTTCGACAAACAAATTAAATGGTTCGTTCCGATAGATAGAGTCACGATACACACATATATATATACATATTAAAATGATCATCATCTCTGAAAAATATTTTTGTAATAATTAATAATACTCCCACATACAGCTACAAAAATTCAATATTATAAAAATGAACCGTATATATATATTTGCCACGATACAAAAAAATTCTTATATTACTAAGCGTAATTTTTCGCCTATCCCATTTGAAACAAATTCATCGCAATGCACCGATTTACATTGACGTTGGAATCCCATAAAATGGATCGTCACCGGTGAGCCACGGCGTATATGAAGCATAATACGAGTGTAGATCGATACTTTAAGACGCTTCCCGATCGCCCACCTTCTCGAGATCAGCGTAAAATTCGCAGAGAGTAGGGTGGAGAGAATAGTCAGGCACGGGTGTGGGAAGGAATAGAAGGAGGAGGAGGAAGAGGAGGAGGAGGAGGTTCAGCCGTTGCCACGGCTCTGGAACCACAAACTTTAATGTTGGCATTACTTTTATGCGCGACTTTATGCCAAGTATCCCATCAAATATATGACCCAAGCTCCTGCACGCTTCCCGGGGGAGGGGGAGGCGAGTACCTTCGCTGAAACCTTCGCTTTTCCATCCCCTCCCTCCCCCCTCTCGCCCTATATTCGCCCCGACCAACCCCCCGTTTCCACGCGCGGCTAAATTATTGCGAATAAAACTTTATACTCAAATTACCTCTACGCCAACTTTATCGCATTTCACCGGTAAAGCCGCCGCCACCCCTCTGACAGTTCTCCTCTCCCTCTCTCGAATCACCTCATCCCACCACGCTCGATGGACTTAAATTTTCCACCAGGAAACCGAGTTAATTTCTACGGATTAAATATATCCATCGTCCTGTCGAACTTTTTTTCTTTTTTTCCTTATCGGGATTAACCCTCGATCGATACTCGTGATTCGTTTCCGTAGAAACGTAGATTGTTGAAATATTTTATATTTTCGAATAATTATACATAAAAGTATAAATATTTTTGAATGACAATATATCACTAGGAAAAGACAGAAATTGATCGCACGAACTTTATCGAAATATTACCATCAAAAATAATAGATTCGTGGATAAGGAAACAATATAATACATCTCTCATTGAAATAATTCGATCGAAACCGAGCAATCAAATTCACGTTAACGCGACTAAAAACTTATTGCGTGCCGTTATATTCGCATATCTCCTCGAGGATTGCGGGGGATTTCGAGGATTTACCAGTCTCTTTCGGGGGCAG